CTCAACAGAAGAGAAAAAAATTAGCAATTCGGCTTCCATAGTTCTTCCTTTGGGTATGGATAGCGTTTTCTATCACAAGGCCTCTGGGGATATCTTAGATCCCTGTATTGCCAGGAAGGGTTAAGTTTATCAATGTTAGTCATCATGCAACATGGCTGTTATTGTGTACAACGTTCTCTTGGTTCTGCTCACTTCACTCAGCATCAGTCTCCCTCTACTTTACAGGCGCCCTCTCATCCTATACAACATCTTCCTCATGAAGTTTTTCCTGTTCTCCCAAACTGCTTGGGGCAGCTAGGTGGTGCAGTGGATAGAGCACCAGGCCTGGAGTCAGGAGGACCCGAGTTCAAATTTGGCCTCAGATCAGACACTTGACACTTACTAGCTGTATGACTGTGGGCAAGTCACTTAACCCCAAATGCCTCACCCCCCCCCCAAAAAAACCCCAAACTTCTAGCACTCTCTGTCTTAAACTATCTTATATTCAATGACTTTATGTGTTTTTATTAACTTTATACTTATACTATATACTTTTACATGTACATGCTGTCTCCCCCAGTACAACACAAGATCCTTTAGAGTAGGGATTATTTTATATATGGGACAGTGGAAAGAGCTCTGGGCCTAAAGTCAAGAAGACTTGAATTCAAAGGTGACCTCAAATATTTACTAGCTGTGTGACCTTCTGCAAGTCCCTTAACCTCCGACTGCCTCAGTGTCCTCTTTTGTAAAATGGGTATAGTAGCACTTGCCTTCCAGGGTTGTGGTAAGGATCAAATGGGATTATATTTGTAAATGGCTTAATGAAGTGCCTGGCACATAGTAGGCACTTAACAAAAACTTGTACTTGCGTCCTTGTTGAGGAGAAAATGAAGAGTCCAGCCATTTTGGACCATTGATGACCAATGAATAAGTGGCTGGGCTAGAAATGACAAGCGGGGAAATGGGAAAGGAAGAAACATTTATCTAGCACCTACTATGTGCCAGGCACTGGGCTAAGCACTTTATAAATATTCTCTCATTTCATCTTCACAACCACCCTGGAAGGGAGGTGCTGTTATTATCCCCATTTTACAGGTGAGGAAATTTTCAAGATTGAAACACCTATCTATGTGCCTGGCACCTGAGGGCACCATGCCCGTGCTACGTATTAGCCATGACTGCATCCTCAGGGGCCATATCCACTGTATGAGGCACATAGCAGTATCCAGCTCCACTGACTGCTTCCACCAGGCATTGTTCGTGTCCCTGGCTCTGGAGAGACTCAAGGTGGGGAGACTGATGCTCTGTGAACTATTTTCCTTAGACAGCATCTGTCCTGGCCTAGCCACCCTGTCTTTGTCCCTAAAAGGCTGTTTCTCGCACCTAGGGGTGCCTTGGGACTTGTCTCTTGGGACACTCTTGTGACCCAGAGTGCAGTCACAGAGTTGTGTCCTAAATCATGAATGAACTTTCATGCAGCGAGCTGAGTCCAATGTGAGCATATACACAGTGACCTGAATTTCACCAAACCCCTTCTCCCTCATCCCAGAATGCTTATTTCCAGGCTTCTAAGGCCCACTAGATTGAGAGATTTATGCTTTAGGGCTGCTTAACCTGGGGTCTACACACTTTTTTGTTTCTTGTTCTTTGGATAACTGAGTTTCAATAACTATCCTGTGGATTTTTTTTTTATGCCTTCAAAAACATGAGTCTGAAGAGTCCATAGACCAACCCAGACTGCCAGGACACAAAGAAGGTTAAGGAGCCCTTGCCTAGAGTCACAGAAATTCAGAGGTAGAAGGGACTCCAAAAGCCTCGCTTTACAGATGGGGAAACTGAGGCCCAAAGAGACAAAGCACGTTTCCCAAGGTTGTCCAGATAGTGAGTAGTAGAGTTGAGTTTGGACCCAGCTCCAATCTGGTACTCTTTCCAAATCAAGAGCACTATCATTGTTGACTGGGGACAGAAAAAGAGAAATAACAGATCTGGAGTTCTCGTTTTTCTTCCCAAGTCCACCCCTTGACTAGTTTTCTGGCAAACCTGGTCTCAGATCCCACAATTATAAGGTCACTGATTGAGAGCTTAGGGGGACCTCCAAGGCCAGCTCAATCAACCATCCACCTCACTTCTCAGGAAACAGAAGGTAAAGGATGATTACAGAGACTCAGTGTTGGTAAAGATCTCGGGACCAATGAATCAACTCCATATCTCTGTAGTGCTCCTGAAATTTGGTCATCCGGCTTTGGCTTGAACCCTACCCTTCCACTTCTCAAGGCAGCCCATCATTCCTCTGCAGGTTACCCTGAGCCCCAGAGGGCAGGGAAGAATTGGACAACCCCTAGGGAAATAAGACAGAACCAGAATCAATGGAGAAAAGGCCAATTTCCACCTGAATGTCTATTTCTACTAGAGGAAGTCCATTTCCCCCATGAGCCTCAGCTCCTCCTCTCCCCAAAGAGCCAAGTGGGACCTCTGCTTCTCTTTAAAACAAAGAATTGTTGCTCGGTCTTAATCTTCTAAATGTTCAATTAGTATGGGCTTTTCAAGCAAAGGAGGCCAGCCTTCAAGGGAGCTCAGCTGGTGGGTGAAGTTTGGAGGAGAAGATCAGTATTACAGCTCCGCAGTGTTTCCCGTCTCACGGCTGTCCCTCGCCTGTCTTTTTCTATCTGGTACGAAAGTCATCCAGGGCGTGTTTTGGCTGAAGGAGAGGAGCAGGAGGCACATTTCAGATTCCACCGGTTCCTTACTTTCTTCCTGCTGTTTTTTTAAAGGTTTATTTATAGACATCTGAGACATTTTCAGGCATAACGAGACGTCTCCCAGGTAATGTTTTAACAGAGTCATTACAGGATTTTTTTTTAATACCGTTTTCAAGTAGTCTCGGTGGTGATCTCACCTAAAAGAAGGACCTGTTGAGTAACTTTTTGAAATGGATCCCAGCCCTCTGGGAAAGGAATGTTTCTAAAAAAACCTCATTGTGTCCCACTGCTTGCTGGGAGAGCTTGCCTGGGCTTTAAGCTGCATGAAATCGAATTCAAGAGGAATCTTAAAGCCGGGTGACCTAGAATGAGGGGCTGAGGGAGGGGCTGGAGAATGCAGTGACCCTGAGGGCTTTGTAGTTGGGCTTTTAAAGGCCTGACATTTTTCAAGACTGCAAGCGCAGCAGCCCAGCTCTTCAGGCAGGAGAGATCAGAGAGCATGCATGTAATATGTGGAGAAGACCACTGACCTTCATGATAGGCAAGCCCGGCCGGGCTGGCGTGAAGTTCCAGGTCAGATCCCACCGAGACAAATTCCCAAATGCCCTTCTGCTCCTTCACCCCATCATGCCAGGGACCCATTCCATAGAAATATCTCGTTAGTTTTCTCATCTGTAAAATGGGGACGATAATAGCCCCTGCCTACATTGTAGGATCAAATGAGGTGGTGTATTAAAGCCCTTTGCAAAATTTAAATGCTGTATGAAATTAGCCCTCCAAAAAGTGTTTGGGCTTTTGTCCTTCTTAGAGAAAGGAGCCTGTACTTCTCTCTAGTCAAATAAATGAGCATTTTTCTTAGTAGCAAAAATAATAATAATA